AATTCTCATTGGAGCGCAGGGCAATCTCCAACGATTTCTGGACCCTGGCGAGATCTCCCTTCGTTATTTGAAGCTCGGCACCCTGCATCTTCGCCTCACCGAGGGCGGCACTCAGCACCTTGTTCTCCTCCTTCAGGACCTTGTTCTCGTCCTTCAGAGGTTGAACTTGGTTCCTCAGCCTAACCAGATCCTCCTGCTGTTTGGACCACTTATGCTTCCAGTGGTCCACAATCGCCATAGTTCTCTACAAAAAGACCTAGGCAGCGTCGAAGCTTTCCACGGGCCCAACCCCGTTGATCAGTCCCTGATCATCTGAGGTCAGCGAACCTTGGGGGAAGAACTTCTCGGCAGTCACCCCAGCGCTCCACAGCGAGTTCATGTCGGCCGAAGCACTCACATGGTCCAATCGCACCTGGGTGAGGCCCTGCCCGAAGCGGTGAGCTATGTACTGGCTCCGGGAAGCCCCCTGCGATGAACCTGACGGCGCCGCCGAGGTGGCAGGCGTGGCGGTAGGGACCTCGAGACTCAGCCCCTTACCGCGAGCCTCAACAGGAGCAGAAACGGGCGTCCCCTGCTCGGCAACAGGGGGGTCCACGTCTGGCACCTCCGACCTCAAAGGCATGTGGACCTCAGCAGCATCCCTTGCCTGCAAAAACCAGGGCCATGTCAGAAAAGAAAAAGGACAACAGACAGGAAAAATCAGAAAGTGAGGTACTCACCATGGCGGCTTGGGCGACCTGCTCAGCAACCTGGACCTCCAGTGATGTAACTTGCTAACGAGGTGTACCTTTGGGTCACCAGTGATGTAACTTGCTAACCAGGTGTACCTTCGGGTCACCAGTGATGTAACCAGGTGTACCTTAGGGTCACCAGTGATGTAACCAGGTGTGCCTTAGGGTCACCAGTGATGATATGTGAAACTTCCTTATGGCGCCACAAGCATGCATTTATAAGTCAAGATCATGACATCATTGCATGATAGATGAATATATATGTGATATTGATGATGTATGTGTATTGTTTATAAGTGACTTATATTTGTTGTGTGTGTGAGTGCTATCTAGCCTTTATTTCTGCACCTGAAACTGAGTGAGATGTTTCTCACTCCCTTGTTGTTTTTGTATATGTTTTAAATTGTGTTGCAGATGATCAGCATCATGAGGATGTTGGTGATGAGGCTTAAAGGCTTCAATTGGGCATGCTCTGATAGGATGTGACATCGGGGCATAGTTATTTTAGTTTAATATGTTATTGTTTTAATAACTTTAGTTTCTCTTCTTTTGTAATTTCTAACGAAGAGATAACGTAGATAACATGTATAATTCAAGGAAAATATATGTTAAGAATTGTAATTTGAACGTTCTTGATAAAAGACCAAGATGTACATTTTTGTTATATTTTTATTATATGATTTGGGAGTATAAATTAATTCCTAACCAGGAGGCACTGCCACCTTTACTGGAGTTAATTTATATTTCCTTTATTATTATTTGTATATATATGATTTCTTGTTTTTCACTAAATTGTATTGAAAATCTTAACTTCTTTTCTTTTATAATTTCTACACTGGAGTTATGATTTATGAGTTACGAATGTGAATCTTCTACCTTATAATATTGGAAACAATTATTTTATACATGAAAGATGTTATTAAACTATGAAAAATTTTATTTACCCAATAAGAAGAAAAGAACTATTTTATTGTTACATTGGTTGTATATTAATAATGGGGTAGAGGGTGTCACAACCTTGGGTGACATTACATGGAACTTTGATAAATTAAGTATGCATTTTTATGCACAAGGCAGAAAGCATGTTTTACGAAGTGCTCAGCTACAAGGAATGAAGACCATGAGAAGAAAACAGTTAGGAAGAATTCTTAAGGAAGGAGTACATATTTCAATGATACAATTATGCAACCAAGAAGGTACTTTGTTAAACACTCTGACAACACACGGCCAGCTACCTGTGCCTACACCAAAGATACAATACATCCTTGGGGAATTTGAAGATGTCTTCCAAGAACCAACGCAATTGCCACCTGTCAGATCAGACCATGATCATAAAATTCCCCTCATTCAGGGCAGCAACCCTGTAAACAAAAGACCCTACAGGTATGTGAAATAGCAGAAGGATGTCATAGACAAGCTGGTCCAGGAGTACTTGAATACAGGCATCATTCAAGCTAGCAACAGCCCTTATGCTAGTCCCGTAGTTCTGGTAGGGAAAAAAGATGGAAGCTAGAGACTTTGTATTGATTATAGGGAACTCAATAAAGCTACTGTTAAGGATAAATTCCCAATTCCCCTTGTGGAAGACCTCTTGGATGAATTGCATGGATCCACCATCTACTCAAAAATAGACCTACGATCAGGTTACAACCAGGTCAGAATGCACCCTATGGACGTCCACAAGACTGCATTTAAAACTCATGGGGGCACTATGAGTATCTGATGATGCCATTCGGCCTAACCAATGCTCCAGCAACCTTTCAAGGCCTTATGAATTCTGTTTTTCAAGAGTACCTGAGACAATTTCTCCTAGTTTTCTTTGATGATATATTGATATACAGTAAGAGCATTGAAGATCATATGCAGCACTTACAACTGGTACTCCAAACTATGAGACAGAATAACTTGTTTGCAAGGAAGAGTAAGTGTTATTTTGCTGTCACCAAGGTAGAGTACTTAGGTCATTTTATCAGTGCAGAAGGCGTGTCAACTGATCCTTCAAAAATAGAGGCTGTTAAAAATTGGTCACTTCCGGCAACTCTCAAACAACTCCGAGGGTTCCTTGGTCTAGCAGGCTACTACAGAAGATTTGTAAGAGGTTATGGTGGCATTGCAAAACCACTCACTGAACTATTGAAAAAAGATAACTTCACTTGGATAGTGGAAGCCAAGCAAGCATTTCAAAAATTGAAATCTTTGTTAATTCAGGCTCCTGTACTAGCATTACCTGATTTCAACATGCAATTTGTCTTGGAAGTGGATGCTTGTGGGTACGGAATAGGAGCAGTCTTAATGCAGGCGCACCACCCAATTGCATTCATCAGCAGGGCCCTCAGTTCACAGCAACATGCATTATCTACATATGAGAAAGAACTACTTGCAGTGGTGTTTGCTGTCCAAAAGTGGAGACACTACTTGCTGAACAAGCAATTTATCATTAAAACTGACCACCGAAGCTTAAAATACATACTAGATCAAAGATTAACAACATCATTCCAACAGAAGTGGCTGATTAAATTGATGGAATTTGATTTCATCATCGAATATAAAGAGGGTAAGACAAATATAACAGCAGATGATTTATCCAGGAAGGAAGATCCTACATGTTGTTTAGTCAATATTCATACTATGAGTACCGACCTTCTAGATAAAATACAGGCTTCATGGAGAACAGACCTATCATTGCAAAAAATCATAAACGACGTAAAAACCAACCCTGATTATCACAAACACTACACTTGGCGAAACGAAGAATTACGAAGAAAAGGTAGACTAGTGAAAGGCAATAATGGTGATCTCTGGACTCAAATATTAAATTGGTTGCACTCTTCTTCCACAAGGCCACTCTGGTAAAAATGCCACAATTCAGAGAGCTAAGTCAGTCATTTACTGGAAAGGACTAACCAGAGATATCACAGAATACATTAGAAAGTGTGCAACCTGCCAGAGGTGCAAATATGAGACTACAGCCTCTCCGAGTCTCCTTCAGCCATTACCTATCCCTGATCACATATGGAAGCATATCAATATGGACTTCATAGAAGGACTACCTAGTTCCACAGGGAAGCAAGTCATTTTTGTGGTTGTTTACAGATTAAGTAAGGCTGCCCATTTCTTTGGATTATCCCATCCTTACCAAGCATTTGATGTAGCACAGGCTTTCCTGGATAATATATTTAAACTCCATGGGTTCCCTGAAACAATTACCAGTGATAGAGATCCCATCTTCATCAGTAACTTTTGGCAAGAATTCATGCAATTACAAGGAGTGGAAACGCATTTGTCTTCAGCATACCATCCACAAACGGACGGGCAGAGTGAGGTAGTTAATCAGTGCTTGGAGACGTATTTAAGGTGTATGTGTTCAGACACTCCAACAGAGTGATTTCATTGGCTTCCATTAGCTGAATGGTGGTATAACACCACATATCATTCCTCCATAAAGGCAACACCTTATGAGGTGGTCTATGGGCAACCACCGCCAACATTTCTCTCATACCTACCGGGTGAATCCAAAAATGTCGTGATCGACAGAAGTATGTCTAAGAGAGAGGAGATGCTAAAGGTGCTTAAGTTTCATTTACGAAGAGCACAAGATCAAATGAAGCAAGTAGCAAACAGGCATAGAACAGATAGACAACTCCAAATGGGTGATATGGTATTTGTCAAACTTCATCCTTACAGGCAAGTGTCCATGGCAACTAGAAGCAATGCAAAACTTGCTCCGAAATACTTTGGTCCTTACAAAATAATTGACAAAATTGGACAGGTCGCTTATAAGGTAGAACTTCCAACTTCTGCTAGGATACACAATGTCTTCCACGTATCACAGTTGAAAAAGTATATGGGGGACGCACCAACGTCGACAGATCTACCGGTGGAACCAGAAGTAATTCCATTGACACGTGAACCTGAAGACATTCTGGATCGGATAACTGTCAAAAGGCACAGGCGCGTAGTGACTAAAGTATTAGTGAAATGGAAGAACCAGGTGCCAGAAGATGCCACATGGGAGTATTACTATGACCTAAAGCAGAAATATCCTGAGTTCAACCCTTGAGGACAAGGATTGTTTTAAGGGGAGGGTAATAATATGATGTAAACAGAATCAAGTCCTTATTAGTAATTTTTAATATACTTTATCTACAAAATTAGAGATAAGATAGAATAGTTAGTAATTTTAAATATATTAGAGATAAGATAGAGTAGCGAGGAGGATTGGTTATAGTCAGTTGGCTATATAATGCATTTTAATCCTGCCTTAGGGGCACAGTAATTCATTCACAAATTGGTATTCTCATCTTTCTTCTTCAAATATAACATTCGGGTTCTTTTCTTCACATAGAGTCCCTATTTTCTATTAGTCCTTCGAATTCTTATTGAATTCCTAGTTCTGGTCATAACACATTAGATATTGCAAAATCCAGGAGAAAACATACAGAAGAATAACTAATCGCCGTGCAAGCACCTACGACAATTGCATTGAAAACCAAAACCTCGAAATAGCAGCTCCCGTCGGGCATCACGGTCCAAGCTGGCATCAATATAGCAGATTCTGAGTTCTTCACCTGCAGTTTACCAAAAGCGAATTGCAGTGCATTAATGTTAATATCATACACTACATGTGTCGTCTAGCTTTAGAAAATTAAAATATAAGCTATATAACATTATAATATCATCCACTTGATTTTCCTTCTTTTTGGACCTTGTAAGACCCATCCTATCATAGTACTATGTTACTATTTGTCAACTACTTTACATTGTTTCTGAGTGGTAAAAATGTTAGAAACCGAATGTGGATATTTATTCCAGTAATAAAACATGATGATATGTTCATAACACTTGCGTTTCCCAAATTAAATCCTATAGTTTATTTTCTTATGAAAGAAGGATTATGAATGATGCATGGAAAATTTTGATGGATAACCAAGAATGACAAAAACGTGTACAAAACTATTTTTTTTTCTGAGAATGATCACATTATATAACTGAATAAACTACATTCCATGACGAACCAAATTGGCATCTGGTCAATCAAAACTGTCGTATGTCCTTTAGGCTCACTAAAATTAACTTTTAATTCCATTTGTTTCATTAATGTGACATTGATTTTCTTCTTTACACTTTAACATACTTCACATCTAACTCATGTAAGACATTATAGTGACATTTGATAGTAAACAATGTCATTTTACAGCTTGGATGGAGCCAAATCTAAGAACTTTCCACCACTTACATCAAGAAAATTATATAATAATATAGGCCAGGTACCATCTATCACCATGGTCTCTTCCCAGGCATGGTTCTCAATCCTAGATTGTGGCATAGAGTGACCGACCCTAAAAATGTTATAGCGGATAACAAGATTACCACTACTAAAAGGTACAGATACAAGATAAATAATTTTTAGGTTAAAACCCTTATTTGGTCTCTTATAATACTTTTTTGTTTCAATTTAGTCCCACTTTAATTTTTTGTTTCAATTTGGTCCTCAATAATTTAAATTATTGCAATTTGGAACTTCCGTCCAAATGATTTAAACGGAGTTAACTATTGGCTACGTGAATGCCACGTAGATGCATAGGTAGATGCCAAATTTCTTGAATACACTTGGAACCAGAACAGCAGAACCAGAACAGCCCGTTCTGGTTGCACTCTTGGTGTGTTAATTTTGTATCTGGAACGGGCAGTTCCAGATGCAAAATTAACTCACTAATAATGTAACCAGAACGGGTCGTTCTGGTTCCAGAATGGTCGACGACTATAGTTCACGTTTGTGAATCGTACAGGGAAAAAGACCCAAGGTACAAAACATTTCAAACACTAGATTTGGTAATATTGTCAATGGGGATTGATAACTTCAATTGCTAAACATTTGGACTATACAGTGTATCATAAAGGACGATGCAGTGTATCACTAAGGACAATGGTAGCAGGTTTTATTTCATTATTAGTCAAACTGGAGTGAATCACTTACTACCAAATTGACACTATATAGTCAAGGATGAAACGAAACGATGTTTCCCCTTGAAGTCATTGACGATGTACCCCAATAATAACAACTTGTTCTTGAGGAGGTACAACCTGAATTTTTGTGGTTTAGGATTTTCCTTCAGCGTTACCCGGATGATTTCCTTTCTCAGTAATTTCTTTGAATTTTTTTAGTATATGTTATGTTCTGAATTTTTGTTTTCAGTTTCTGAATCATGTTTCTGTCTTTGAATTTATGATATGTTATGAATTTTTATTTTCAATTTTTGAGTCACATTGTGACATTTTGGTCAACGCATGCATGAAATTGGCATTCTGGAATGGGCCGTTCTGAACTCTAAACCCTGAATCCAGAACGGCCCGTTCTAACACCAGAACGGCCCGTTCTGATGCACTCATGGTGTGTTAAATTTGCATTTGGAATGGCCCGTTCCAGTTGCAAAATTAACACATAACATGTGCAAGCAGAACGGGTCGTTCTGGTTCCAGGTATATTCATGAAATTTGGCGTCCACCTATACATCTACATGGCATCCACCTGACATTCACGTGGCCAACAGTTAACTCCATTTAAATCATTTGGATGGAAGTCCCAAATTGCAATAATTTAAATTATTGAGGACTAAATTGAAACCAAAAATTAAAGTGGGACTAAATTGAAACAAAAAAATATTATAAAAAACCAAATAAGGGTTTTAACTTAATTTTTACTATTCACAACATAAATGCTAAAAAAATTTAAAAAAATAAAATAAAATAAAAACTTACAATTAAAGATTTTCATTATTAATAATAATAAGGCATAATCCTATTCTAAACAGAATCATCCTCAATCTAAGGTATTATTATTAACAAAGTCAATAATAACAAGTAATGTGGTTGTGGTTGAGTGATGATGCCAACAAGAACATAGGAATGGGGTAAAAAGTGATGGGATTAATGAAGAGAAAAACACAACGCATCAAATACATGACAGACCTTAGGAGTTGGAAAAGAAAAAACAGAACTGATACTAATTAAGGGAATACATACAACAAAGTGTGAAAAGAGAAAACAAAACGACAAAAAAACACTACACAAGAAGACCAAAGAGTAGTGCCATAATGCATGAACAGAGGGGTGGCCAGAAATGATGCTGAAGAATTGTGGGTTGGCTAGAAACAATGCCAGAAAACTGTAGCATGTCCCAAATCGAGGAAAAGAATCAACTGTTTAGACTCTAATCAGAAACCCAAAGCATCTCTAATGTAAAACAAGGGGAAATAGCAAAAGTACCCATAAAAACAGCTTCAGCATTGCACAACAGCAGGGTAAAGAAGGGGTTTCCCACTGTATAAAAGAATGGCCACAACAGATTTTGTGGGATAGGAGATGCAAAACATTATGCAACAACCATATTCTTGAAGCAACTGTAGGCTGTTCTGCACCAGTCCACCGTTACAGAATGCTATTGATAACTATGTTCTCAGGATTGTCAAATATATACAAATTTCAAGATGGATATTTTAATGTTCTTTTTCCTTCTCAGTCCAAAATTGTGTTTCAATATACAAGAACACGAACAATAACAATTAAGCCTTTCAATATAGAATTGACAACATGGACCCATGAAACCATTTTGACCATTTTGAGAAATGTCATTATTCGATGGTGTCTCCTAAAGTTTTCTATCACTGATTGATGTCATAAAAGTTATCACTTGACAAAGGTTTGCATTGATTGCCAACTACTGTCAGAAAAACTCAGAACTGTCACATTAAAATGAGGATTTCCTAAAAAAATCATCAAATGTACTACTCACTAGAAGAGTCAACCAACAGAATTACAAGGAAAAAGACATTAAATTAAATAAAATAGAATTTAGGACAAACCTTCATCAATGTCACGGAGTGCCTTCAATTTTGCATCAGCACTATCTATCCAAATGATGTGTACATTTGGATCTGCAAACCAATTGAGTTAGATTGCTCCTTTCTTAAGGTAAAAAGACAAGGTTTAGGGCGGTCAACTATTTGTGTTTGTGTGTGTGCATGTGCATGCACATGCACAAAACATGGAATGCAAATTTTGATAAAATTGAACTTCTCTTGTTTTCAGTCATCTGTGCTTGATGAATAATGTAAAGGGATCTGATCCAGTTGGAAATCTTGGTCAAGCAACCAAAAGAGAGGAAAGTAGAGTCATAATGAGGAATATAAGAGAAAATTGTACTCACCACAGTCATGATTGTAGAAGGATGGAAGTATATACACAGCATTTCCAACAGCAGCTTCAGCTTCCACAGATGCAACTGCTGATGAAAGAAGATCTTCGTATAGTCCTCCAGCCAACTCAATGCGAAATGCATTGATTCGGATTCGTGCCAAAACATTAATGTACCATTGCTTAGTTAAAACTTGAAATGTTAAGAAAAATAGTCTCTAAACATATATCTAATGTACGTGTTGTGTATCTATATACAAAATATTCCTCACACAGTAAGGATACAGGCAATATGTTCATCTGCCACAAGTGCCTTTGTGAAGGCATTCCTTAGCAAGAGAAACCCCTCTTCCATCTGAAAAAGGATGCTATGCATAAACAGTTCACTGCAGTAAAAAACTGATGCCAAAGCTGTCCAATTATAATACTTATCAGGTTCCAATTTAAACAACAAAAATTGTTTCCTTCTGCTCTAATGAATAGTTTATATAAAAAGTGATCACTTACAGCAGAAGGCTGTGCTAGGCACAAGTAAAAGAAGGAATACAATAACTGAAACCCATTTAGACATAGGTTCTGTATGGACAAATTTTTCCACAAGCACTTGTAGGAGAAAAATAAAAAGATAAAAATGAATTGAGTTTCTCCCATAAGTTAAAATTAACTGATGTAATTTAACTTCTATACAAACTCTTTCATATAAGCACCTATTCTTGAATTTGCTTCATGTATCTATATCCGGTACATATTCAATACCAACACTCTTGGATACTCACTGATATGTACTGGTGAAGCATCCAATACAGCACACAAGACATATAAGCATGTATAAAATGGAAACATAGAAGCATTGTCTGTTGATGAAGCAAAAATAAAAATTATCCTCTTAATGGATTATTTCAAGAAAAGAATGAGATTGCTAGTACTATTTCTATTTCAAATATTAGGAAGTAATTTATGATGATAACAATAATTTATGATTTTCTTTTTAATTTTTAGTAATGTCCAAGAAATATGGTTTTAATTTGGAATTGCATAATTGCAATTATATATTTATTATGTTTTATGAATTATTTTTCATATCAAGATATGTATCTTACACTTATGGTATCTTATATACTTTGAGAATAATCATATCGTTGTATCACATATGTATCATAGCTCTCATCTAACTTTCCCAAAAGCCAAGGTGATGAGTTGATTTTAACACAGAAGCTCAATTCATTTTATCTACTTATTTTCTTCTCCTTTAAGCGTTTATAGAGAAGTTTAATCAAACAAGGTCAAAAAATAAGTCTATACACAGTTTCCACCTCTAATGTCTGCCTTTGCATTTTCACTTTTACCAACCATACCCTACATTTAAGAATAATTATGAAAAGCTACAGGCAAAGAGGATCGTTCATTCAAATGTTCACAAGAAAGCTAATAGACTTCCATTCATAATATGGTTTTCATTGTTTTAGAAGAAACCTGCTAACTAAAATAATCATAATCAGAATTTTATTGCCATTGTCCTAAACTTCTAAATGTCTCACCTCTAAAACCATCTCAGGCGTCAAATTGGTTGGCTGAAGTATGTCAAGAGTGTCACTTGTGGCATCTCCTGATATGACCATGCAAGCCAATCGCTTTACCAACAAGGGATACTTCAAACCATGGGTCCTTTGTAAAGAGATCATGAAATTGTCACTTTAAAATAGTATATGATAAGTTAAGGTGTCAAGTATTGACAAACACAAATGTTTCAATAGTTTATCATAAGGGCTATCCATTACATTCAGTTCAGATCAATTATAATTTCAGAAATGAAGTTGTGCAAAGGCCCACAAGACAAATTATAGAATTTTGTATGTTACATTAAGTTTCAAACCACCAACACAAGTGACAAAAGCATTCAATAAGGTTAATGAGGGATGGACGTATAGCTCCTCTTATCTGTTTTCTCCTTTCCACTGTGCTTTCTGTATTGTACTTACCCTGGTGAACAGACACTTAACATAGGGGAAGTTTGCACTTTGCATTGAAGATTAAAGGGATATTTCTTGGAGGGTTGAAGAGTTGTCATACATAAAATCCATTTGGTACTTACAAAACCATAGAGAAAAGTTAGTTTCATTAACACTGAAGAAAAGAAATTTTATATAAATTTATATTCACGTGACATGTTTAAAAGATTGTTGAACCCATCACAATTGAAGATGTCAATCTTCTGATGCTAGAGAACAAACTCTTGTACCGGCAATAGTCTTCAAAAGCCACCCAATTTTCCTTCATCTCAACATTGTAATATCCCTAAGTAACATTAAAATTCTCAAAATAAGTACACAACTGCAAAGAAGCAAAAAAGTATGTTCACCGAAAAAACTCCTACATTGCACTTTACAACATGGGTTTTATTTGATTATGCGAGTATTGTTGACCAAGCAACACATGAGAGAACAATAAGTAAAAAAACATACTTTTGACTTACAAGCACAAGTCAGATATTGAATGTGGCCTTAATATCATAGATAATAGAAATGAGGTTAAACTATTCACTCGATCCCTATAGTTGTCTTCATTTTAAGTTTTAGTCCATATCCAAGAAAACAATAAGCTATACTTATACACAAAAAAACTCTATATCCTTAAAAGTTACGTTTTGATCCTTTGTGGCTAACATCAAAGAATTTTTTCAACTATGAAACCACTACAATTTTTTTTACCAGTGATATCACTGCTAACAAAAAATTATTGTAGGACTAAAACTTACATGATTTCTCGTATTAAGGACTAAAACTTAGAACGAGGACAAATACATGGACCTAATAAGAGTTGTTTAACAAGGCACCGGAAGAACTTATAAGCTAGTTTGATCAAAATTAGCTTGTTTGGTATGCAAGCATATTCTAGTATCTTATAGCTCATTGTTCATAGGCTACTACATGTAGCTTATGAAAATAAGCTAGCTTACAAGGTACTCGTTTTTTTTTATGTTTTCATTTTTATCCTCATAAATTTATTTGGAACATCTTTTTACCTCAATCAACTAAATATGTGTTTTTTAATCCATTTAAGAGTTTGTTTAGATAAAATTCTTCAGAAATATTTCTAAGAGAAAAAATAATAGGAAGCAAAATCGAAATAACCTTCTTTATAAGTTAAAATTAACTTATGCATAAGTTAAAAATAAGATTCATGAGAAGCTAATAAGAGAGAACTTTTAAGCTTATGGAGAAACTTATTTCTTCCTATTTTTCTCTCCTATAAGTGCTTCTAGAGCAATTAACTCAAACAGACCCCTAGATTTATCACCTATCTTATCCGTTAATCTTACCAAACACTCTCAATTCAATCAATAATCAATAGCTTATAAGCTTTCAGGTTTTCAGTTTCTAAGTTGGGGCCTTTCTGAGTAATTCTCCAAAAGCACTTAAAAATAGGAAAGAAAAATGAAATATGTTTTTCCATAAGCTAAAATTAGCTTTAGCTTGTGCATAAGTTAATTTGTAGAAATTTTCTCTTGTTAACTTCTGCAAAATTTTATTTACTCATGGAAAAAATTAGTATTAACTTACGAAAAAACTTAATTCAATTTTTCTTCCTATTTTTTCTCTTTGAGAAGTATTATTCAAACATAGCCTTAGTGTTTATGAGCTATCAGCAGCTGACTTGTAAGTTAGTATTACCTAACACACCCTAAATACTTTAAACTAGGGGCAATTGAACACCTTTCTAATTTGAAAAACAAAACTAGACTTAGCTCCTTTGCTTTATTGTTATTTCAAAGGGTAAGGACTAAGGAGAGAATGTGTGTGCATAAATAGTGAAAAGGCGAGAGAAAGGGAACCTTGGAGCGTCGGTAGCAGTATTGGCTGCAGAAGGTCAGAGTTGAATTCAAACTATACCCCTTTGTCCACCCAGCACTTGGAGCGTCGGTAGCAGTATTGGCTGCAGAAGGTCAGAGGCTGCCGAGGTCCGGAGTTGGCGAGGCAGAAGTAGCAGGCGCCGGGAGCGGAGGGGTGGCAGACGGCGGGGCTGGCGGTGTGGATGAGGTCTCCGGAGGCGATGGGGCGGGTGGCGAAGACGGCGCGGCCCACCGACTCGGTGAGGGCGACGCGGATTGGAGGCGGTGGTGAGGTGGTGGTGGTGGAGAATGAGGAATAGAAGGAGGAGAAGGGAAACAGGGTTTTGAAGAAGCGGCGTGAGAGTGAAAAAGGTGGCGCACCCATTTCTTGTTTCTTCTTCTGTTGCTCTAATGTGATCGATACCTCTGCCAATTTGGAACCAATTTCAAATTTTCTGAGAAACACTTGCAGAATTTTTTTCTGAAATAATATTTTTTTAAAAAAAATTTACAAAAAAATCATCTATTACACTATATTTATACATATAGACTCATTTACTGTTCATCTCAGAATTCGATTACCAGAAAATCGAATTTTGAGCAAGGTTAAATTTTTTTTTTTTTCGTTTTCTTTTTGAGGAAGGGGAAGAACTAGATTCGGACCGTTCTGAATCAGAACGGCCCGTTCCGGAGTAAAAAATATACCATTGACGAATGGACTAGAACGAGTCATTCTGATTAAGAACGGGTCGTTCCAAATTCAAAATTAACACATGACGAATGGAATCAAAACGAGCCGTTCTGAATCCGGAACAGCCCGTTCTGGAGACTTCTGATGTCTATAAATACCATATTCCCACATTGTTTTTTGGTTCAATTTTCACTTATCAAGTACCAAAATTCAGACATTATTTTTTTGTTCGATTTTCACTTACCAAATACCAAAAATGTTGTTGTGGAAGCAAAGTGAACATAGGTCTGCGTTTATTGGTACAACGGTATGTTGAACTCATCGTTATTTACTTTAAATTTCAATGAACTTGTAACATATTAGTACTAATTTTGTTAATCATCGCAGGAAGCTGATAATATTATTTACTCTTATTGTCATTCAATGCCAAAACCTCACCCTCTAATTGTTCCTATATTAGAGGAAGTTGGTTTTTTTGGGGTTGCAAATCTCAAACATCTAAAGGTGGATCACGCATTAGTCACAGCTTTGGTTGAAAGATGGAGACCTAAGACTCACACATTCCATTTTCCAACAGGGGAGTGCACGATAACACTGGAGGATGTTGCACTTCAACTTGGCCTAAGAGTTGATGGTTTACCAGTCATTAGCCCAACATTATATGACTGGAGGATATGTGTTCCACGTATCTCGGAATCGTGTCAGTTAAAAGTGAGTCACTAATTGGCTCTATGATTAAGTTAAAGTGGTTAAGAGAAAATATGTTACAATTACCAGAGGAACCATCTCAAGAAGAAATGCATGCACATTGTAGGGCATATATATTAGGTTTAATAAGAGGTGTTTTGATGCCTGACAAAACAAGAAATAAGGTACATCTTATGTATTTATCTTTATTAATAAATCTTAGAAGAACAAGGCGATATAGTTGGGGGTTTACTTGTTTGGCTATGTTATATAAGGAAATGTATAGAGCCACAAATGTTACCAGCAAAATAATGGGTGGTTGTGCATCTTTGTTACAGTCTTGGGCATGGCATCGTATGCCATATATTGCGCCTATTTCCAGGGTACCACCAACATTCCCTTTGGTCTGTAAATGGAGCGGAGGTAGAATATTAAACTTTCGAAGTGTACCTCATAATGATGTTATCGGATACAGATCAAGGTTTGATCACATTCAAGCTGATCAGGTAACTCTTCAAAATCAAAGTTTTATTTGTTTCGTATTTTCTTTTGTTTAGCATATTATCTTAACTAAAAATGTTTAAATTTTTTGTAATTTTTATGGACTCCATATCAAGCCTTGGAAATAACAATACCCATGCAAGCATATACAAATGCTCAACTATGGACATCATGTACCTCCATCCTTTGTTTTTCAATTGTTGAATGGCACCAATCCGATATAGTGAAATTGCAATTTCGTCTCTTCCATGATTTCCCTTCTCCACGCAATAGTTTTTATCACCTTCACAAAATGGACATTATTTTAATACAAGATTAAAATTTTGTTACAAGACATGCTCAATGGATCTACATATGGCATAATAGACGTGAGCACGCATTGATGGGTCATCCAATGCAAGGCTCATTGTTTCACACACGAGAATACATGGAATGGTACATGGCCAATTCCATCTACTTCCTATCTGTGCCACAACAACTACAAGATCCAAGGAATCATCAACAACGAAGGACTTCCACAATATTTGAAACTGGTGCAACTTCCATGCGATCGTATGAAGAGACTGATCAGCATGTATCAAATCCTCCACACATCACCCAACAAGAAAACATAATTGATAGAAGACATTCATTTGCAACAACTTCAAAGGATTTTTTTACAAATTTATTTGGAGTAGATTTAAGAACTCCATCTTCAGCACAATCATACATGCGATCTCTTTACCAATCAGAATTTGCTAATGAATCTGGTAGTTCTTCAACAGTATTTCAACAACCAGTGCTTCATGATGAGTCAAATCCTTCTGAGCAACAACTTCCACGACGTAATCCAGGTCGTAACAGACGTCGCCCTCGTTGTGGAATTGGACACCATTACGAAGACTAAAAAACATATATAATTCACTTTATTTTAATGTTATCGTTTTTTACTTTTAATGCACTATGTCTCTTTATCAATGTAATATGATTTTTAATGTTATGCATTTTTACTTTTAATGCACTATGTAACTTATAAAATATTATAACTATAAGCATTGCAGCGAACACAATCAACCCTTTCAACACAAACACAACGTAGTCTCGGAGACTAACATCAAGTAATTAAATTTATTGAATAATAACATTATACATTTAACTAAATAAATTTATTAAAACTCATTATAACAATAAAGATCAATGGTGGCGGGAACTAAATTCATGACTAATATTTGGACATGTCTTCCTAGTGTGACCAGCAGTGTGACAATAGGAACAATTTTTTACACGATTATGTTGTTCTCTAATGTCCATCTCTGTTCTAATCCTGCTGGACTTTGGCCGACCCTTGGACGTTCTCTTGAGTTCTGGATTTGGCCACAAAGTTGAACTAGTGTAAGTAGGTCAATAATCTTCATATCGGAGCTCTCTAAATTGTCCTTGGTATACCTTTGCAACTTGTTGTAAGGTATATGTGGGAGATATGTAGGTTTGATAGTCGTGATGTGCATGTAAGCATGAAGCGAGTACATGCGAGCAAGGGATACGAACTTTCTGGAACTTGCCATAATCACACCACAATTCATCTAGCCTTACTGTAAATCTCCTAGCGAGTCGAACTTCTCTCGAATGTTGCATTTCTTCCACTAGAAATCTAGTGCTTGATTTGTCAAAGTTGATAACTCTATGAGTATTTGCCTTGGACTGTGCATCTTGAATAGCTTTACTTGCAATTTCTGAGTAGACATGTCCAGCATTAATCATTGCATCCACTTCCCTGCCTCTTTGAATAAAAAACTTGTTGCAACGAGTGTATGTAGCCATTACCATGGAACAAATTGACAGATTTCTTGTTTTCTTCAATACGGAATTAACAGACTCGGCTAAGTTTGTTGTCATGTGTCCCCAACGTCGTCCATTGTCCCATGCCAGTGTCCATTTTCCTCTAGGAATGTTGTCTAACCATTGGGCTGCTTCAGCATTAGTATCTCTTACTATGTTGTAATAGTAAAAGAATATAGGTCCAGTCATCCCATAAGCTGCAAAAAAAAAAACTAATTAAATAATGGAAAAAATAATTAAATAATTTCAAAAAAAAAAAAAATTAATGATAAAATTACTTATGTTGACGACATCCTTCTTCAATGCTGCATTTTTGAATTGTCGCATGAAGTTTTGTGCAATGTGTCGAATACAATAGACATGGACAGAATTGTTTTCTGTCCAACCACTTTCGTTTCTTGAGTATGCACTTCGAATAGCCTCATGACGATCAGAAATAAGACACAACTCATCTTGCGGTATTACATACCGCCTTAAGTTATTAAGAAGAAAAAAAAACCATGCATCTTAGTTTCACCTTCAACAATAGCAAATGCAATAGGAATTATGTTGTTGCGACCATCTTGCGCAAATGCAACCAATAGCGTACCTTTATATTTCTGGTATAAAAATGTTCCATCGACTTGAACAATTTGTTTGTAGAAGGCAAAACCATCAATGCATGGTTTAAAGGTCCAAAATAACCTTTTGAATATAACACTCCCCTCACCCAATAAGTCACCTTGGTAAGTCGGTTGCGGATTTAATTTTCAAATAAAACCTGGAACATACATTTGCATTGCTTGCAACATACCTGGTAAGTGCAATGGTTGATAATGTGAAATCTGTTTATGTCGTCCTGCATTTGTTCTTTTGTTTCGAAGCGTTGGCCAACAAATAGTGTTCCAGGTGGATACACAACCATTTCACGTTCCAACAAATGGCTATACTCACTGTCTTGTTGTTGAATTTCATTGGGAAAGTTTAAAAAGTGTGATGGTGGGTTGTATATGGGTAGTGGTGGATTATTTGGAAATGGGAGGGTTTCTTCATCATCATCATCATCTTGATGTTCAGAAAGCATTTTGCCTTCGTCCTCGTTAAAAGGATCAAAGACATTTTCTGTTAGAAGACCAACAAGAAGATGATCTCCAATGTTGGTTTGAACATTGGGTTGAGAGGCAGGAGGTGTAGCTTGGTCAAATGGCTGAGAAGGTATTTGATTAAAGCCCATGAATGGACCAGTTAAAAGCTATGTGTATGACTCAATGTCGTGGTTGGAGGGAATATTATAAGAAGGGGCAGATGGGTTAAGGTTTTGGTAACTTTGGTAAATTTCGTAAGGTGAAGGTGAAGGTGAAACTTGTGGTGAATGTGATTCAATTATAGTAAAGGTAGCATATAATTCAATACCTGATTGAAGTTGATTAGAATCGTGAACATTGAAAAGTGCCTCAACATCTTCATCATCAGTCAGCTCAACACAGGTGTAGTTACTAACCCCTAGGTCAAGTCTAATAGGGTAACAAAAATGTATGCTAGCCACCCTCTCAGAATCTTGTCGATGCAACTTTGTGTGGATGACTCTCTGTAGCCTCTGTAGAGTAATTCCTCTCTTGATACAAACTAATTTTGCAGATGTAGAGGAGAAGGTGACTCCTTCATTCAGACATTGGTTAATGAAACCATCTGAGTGAACAATAACGTAGATTGAAGAAGCCATTTTATGAAAGGTTGAAAGGAAATGAATGTAATTCAGAGAAAAGGCTTAATATGGGTAGAGAAAACAAATGAGATCCTGAAGGTAA